TCTCTCAATAGCAATTCTGAAAAACAAAATCAACCATTTTAAAGTTTTAAGGAAAATATTGGGCAAAAGGAAAAATAATAATCAATTTTTGAATAAGAAAAAAAAAACACATTATAAGTATTTTTTGCATTAAATTTATCTTGAGTAAAAAAATCTATAAGTTATAAAATTATACAAAAATACTTTGTTAACTGGAATATTCACTATAATATATATATATATATATATATATATATATATATATATATATATATATATATATATATAAATAAAATTAAAAAAAAAAATATTTTTTTTTAAAAATGTTTAATATCAGAAATAGACCTTATGTAAATATAAATATAAAAGTGAACATTGAAGTCAAATACTCAAAATATCAGGCTGTTTCATGCTGGACAAATCGTAATGCCGATTTATGTATAAAAAGCCTTATATATATATATATATATATATATATATATATTATGTTATTATATATATATATATATATATATATATATATATATATATATATATTATTATATATATATATTTTATTTATTATATATGCACGTTTTATTATTGCGAATCACTGATTGTATCAGTGATATATATATATATATTTATGTTGTTTTGTTTATATTTCATTTAAATGAGATATTTTAACCATTTACACTATTTAAAATTCAGACTGTTATCTTCATCTTTATAGCCATATTCAAACGTTTTGCCCGTTATACGCTATATATATTAATATATATACGTAATAGATAGATAGATAAGCTGTTAGTTTTTCCCAATCTTCAGGCGGTACATTATAAACAAATATTCAATTCTTTGAGAATAAGTAACTTAATATCTTGTCATTATTCAAAATTTATTAATATATATTTGGTATTTTTTAATGAAATCATAAAGTCAGTTTACGAAATAGTAACAAACTTTCGCCAAACAATTTTTGGTATGCCTTTGAATATTTGCTATACATGTCACTTCCATTTGAAAGTGAGCGATGACGCAAACAAGGTTTGGAATTTGATTTTGAAGCATAAAAAATTTTTTAACAAACAGTGCGTATTTCTATGTCCATCTTGTTCCTATCTATCTATCTATCTATCTATCTATCTATCTATCTATTCTATTCTATTCATATCTATCTCCGTTCTATTTATCTATTTTGTTCATCTTCATATATTTATCTCAATTTGTTCATATCTATTCTATCTATCTATCTATCATATTTATATCTATATATATATATATATATATAATATATATATAATATGTCGATTTTGTAGTTTGAATATAGATCGACAAAAGAACAAACAAAAAACGATCCCATTTTGAATTTAGTAGATTTATTTATTGAAACGATAAATAGGAATTTTAGCGTAATAGAAAATGATTTAATTTCTATCCTTATCCTCTATTACTATTCACTATACTATTTCCCTATACGGATCTCTATTCGGTGATTACTATTTCAAGCGAATTATTATCGAGCACGTTCTATTAGTGCAGGTGTTATTCGAAAAAATCTGATTTATTGTTTCAATGACGTTACTATATTTGTATCTGCGATTACAAAGTCATTTAAAAAGAACATCACGAAAGGGACAAAAAGTATTCGTAAAATCATTAAAAGTGGCAACGTCCATTCGTTGACATCAAAAAATGATATACTGGTCTTTTCATATAATATCTATCTATCTATCTATCTATCTATCTATCTATCTGTTGTGACCAAGAAACTGGTTTTTTTTCATAACAAAACAAGAGGTTGGAAATGAATAGTTTGAAATTGAACAGTAAATACAACAAATGTTAAATAATTATACTTGGGATTTTTAAAAATCCAATTTTTTAGCGTTCAGTCGATATCAAAATAAATGAAACAAATTTTTGATGAAAATTAAAGGATGGTTTTTTTTTTTTGGTTTTTTTAACGTGGGTCATCCGAATTTGTGGAAAAAAAAAAAAAAAATCCCCGGTAGAACCCAAAAATAAACGGATTCAGGTCTGTCTACCTCTCCGGGCAAAACTCTGCCCTTCGTTTGTCAGCCTCGTCCGGGTTCCTCTCTATTTTAAAAGAAGATATTCGAAAAGACAAACGATGGAAAAGAACAATTTTATATATCACCGTTATTCAGGATTAAAAGATACATATTCTTTATAGTAATAAATAAGTATTTTAAATACTCATGTTAAAAGTGGAACCAAAAGACATTAAATTTATCTTAAGAAATTTTCTATCTATCTATCTATCTATCTAAAATCTATCTATCTATTCTGTTCATATCGATCTATTTATCTATCTACACACAACCAACAAACAAACAAAAAAAAGGGAGATATATATATATATATATATATATCTTATATTATTATAAAACGCAGATTGTGTGTGTGTGTGTGTGTAAACGTTTATATATTGGATCGGATTTCCTACATTTTTCAACCGATTTCAACAAAACTTCACAGGACTACATAAAATTACCTTGTGGTGGTTCTAACAGCGCCA